GCCGAAGATCACATTAGTGGTACCGTCATTGGCACCCAGGCAGTCTGCACCCTCTTCCCCGCGACCCTCTTCAACGGCGGCCAAATCACACAGACAACCACCGACGATCTATCCATACGGAACATCCCGGCCGACGAGCTCATTAACGTACACGAATTCGTCGAGGGCGCCTTAGTCGTCTATGGCGACTGGGTCGGGCGGGTAGAGAACGTATACGATGAGGTCGCCATCAGGCTGGCCAACAACTCAGTCGTGGTCGTCGAGGACCCGGCAGAGCTGGAACAGGACGACACGACTCTCGAGCGGCTCAGCGTGGGCGATACAGTCAAGACCAAAAAGGGCAACTTGCGGCGGGGAAACTGGAGATTCGGCGCGTACGATCCGAGCGTGCCGCCTGTGGGCATGGTCGTCGAGACAAGAGCATCCGAAATTGACGTGCAATGGCTAGCAAGAAGCATCGGCGCGCGCAACGTCGCCTTCAATGCAGACGAGCCTCCGGCGACAATCGGTCGAGACGAATTCGAGAGCCCCAACTTCTACCGATACGATGCCTCAGGAGGTACGGCCACAACACTCCCCGTCTCCGAAAACGGTGTCGACAAATCATACCATGTTACCGATGTGGCTGTGGGTGATCGTGTACGGTTCAAGGACATCGCCGGCGCTGCTGTAAAGTACGACGGCACGAGGGAACTACCCAACGGATATCCACAAGGGCAGGTGACACGCATCGCGCGGACGGAAAGCCTGGGATACGATCTCAATGTCTTCTTAGTGATGCAGACTCACAGTCGGGTCACCGTTCAATGGCAAGACCTGTCCATAACGCACGATCTCAGCTCTTCTCTACTACCAGATCCCAATGTAGAAGACGACGATGAGGTCTGGCCGGGTGAAGTTGTTTTCTCCAAAGAGAACCGCGACGGGGATAACGCTGATGACACTGCGACAAAGAAGCCTTCAAAGGTGGGTGTGGTCCAGACAGTCAAGGGGCGAGATCGGATAGCTACTGTGCGATGGTTCAAGAACCCTTCCATCGAGTTCTTCGGCCCAGACCTACTTCCTCCGTCAAGTACAGGCGAATTACACGAGACCGTTGAAGACGTCAGTCTATACGACATTTACTCTTTCCCAGCACTAACACGAAGGCGCGGCGACTTTGTACTTGTACATCCAGACTCAATCGAAGGTGTACAGACGCCGCTCAACGTCACTGGGCCCGACTGGTTTGGAGAGGTCATCGACTTGGGTCTAGATGGAAAGCTCACCGTCCGCCTTGGTGCAGCAAAGCCTGTTGTAGATGTCAAGGTTCCCTACGAACGTGTCACTCTTGCCTACAGCAGCGACATGGCTGATGATTTCGGTAACATGGATCCGCTAGAAGGTGAATACATCGACGACTCCGACGAGAGTGATGAGAGCGATTTCGACACGGCGTCATTCAATGAGATGTGGATCGAGTATGAGGGCATGGATGGTGAACAGCCTGTTGGCGACGAAGGGGACTGGTCGACGGAGGATGAGGATGAAGAGGAAGAAGATGGTGGCAACACGGATACATCGATGCCCGATCTTGTCGACATCACGAAAGAAGTCGATACATCGAAGACGACTCCCGAAGAGCAACCCGATGAAGACGGCGGTATAGCGCTGGATGACCATACGGGACAGCCGACAGAGGGGCCAGCTTCGTTCCTCATACTCGAAGAAGCCCCGCCGGCATCCCACCACTACATTTCTCAATCGTCAGCTTCCTCGTCAGCTTTCATGCGCCGGATAGCGAAAGAGCACAAGATCCTCCGAAGCTCACTCCCACCCGGCATCTTCGTCCGCACCTGGGAGTCTCGGTTAGACCTTCTCCGCGTCCTTATGATCGGCCCCAACGATACACCCTACGAGTACGCGCCCTTCGTCATCGACTTCCACCTCGGATCAGCATATCCACAAGAAGCACCATCAGCCTTTTTCCACAGCTGGACAAACGGCAACGGACCTGTCAACCCAAACCTATACGAGGACGGCAAGATCTGTCTAAGTCTACTGGGCACATGGCATACCGACGAGCGGAACGAGAGCTGGAGCCCCGCGAAGAGTACGCTACTACAGGTTCTAGTCTCCATTATGGGGCTGGTACTGGTCAAGGAACCTTACTACAACGAAGCTGGCTACGATGTTCATCGCTCAGCGCCAGAGACGAAACTCAGCTCTGCGCTCTACACCGAACGCGCTTACTTCCGCGCCCGTGCTTTCATCCATCACGCACTTACACACGAGATCGCGCCGTTCAAGGAAGAGCTACAGTATCTCTACCGCAGCCAAGAAGACGGTGCCCCAAAACTCCTCGACAAAGCTATTGAAGCTGCCAAGGATGTTGTCGAGCAAAGCGCCGAGGGTAGTGAGGAGGGTGAGCGTGATGGACTCAGGAAGATCAGTCTGGGCGCGCTTGTTATGCTGAGGAGGCAGGTTGAGAAGCTAGAAGCTTTGAAGCAGGCGAGTACATGAGTAGGAGGACTGGTATGATTGACGCCGGCTTGACTTCGTGTCACTGTATTAGATCTTCGCATCGGGAGACGTATGGCGCTTTACCGTGAAAGTAAGATACTGAAGCAAGAGAAATGTAAAACTATACTTCAAGGTGCCCGTCACCCTGGCCTTGATCGTGACTCTGGATATCTGGGTTGGACCAACTCGTACCAGGAAGAAGCTAAATACGTACCACCTAGGAGTCTACATTACCTTTGGATCTTGCGAAACTTTGGCTTGTATACTGATGTAGTCGGTAAGCACCTGTTCACTCTTGCATGATACTATAGTTTCTCTCACCGCTCTATCCGTATCTCCCACACTCTGACGTTCTCGTTTGCTATGTCATCAGCGCCTCCATGTTTACTTCGACTTCCAGTGCCTCACCTAGGACACTTTGTCACCTCTTGTTACTGCGTGATCTCCCACTGTCTTCTCTATCTTGCAGTCTCTCCATCATACGCTACATTCGCTGTTCCTTCCAAACCGTATCGATGCATTTGCAACTCATCATCTCCGCGCTCACGTCTCCTTACCTGCAGCTCGTCATCTCTCCCACCGTCAACACTCTCGCCTAAATCACCAGCTCCGCACAGACTCTCCCGTCCACGCCCACAATGACGTGCGTCCTTCACCCCAAATCGCAGCCCGCCGCCTCACCCCCAAATTTACTTGTGGTAGGTCTATCGCGACATTCTCTAGGTATATAAAGCCCATCACCGAAGCCTTTCTCATTGAAACGAAGAAGACAGCAATGCGCATCACCGGCTAGTCTAGTCAGTTGTCTCACCCACACTGGCTATCAGCATTGCAAGAGTCATACCCATGGTCGCTCGTGGGTTCGATTCACTACAGTTGACAACAGAAAGCACGCTATAGGGTACGACTCTGTGTTAGTAGGTTGTCAGCGCCATCATTTTGTTTTTGCCAATTCCTTTTTTTTGTACCACAGCACGTCAACCTAGGAAAAACCTGAATATGTCTGGAGCCTGCATCATCGTTGGGCTATCTAATTTGCAGATTTCTATGTTAATGTAGGCGGCAGACCCGTTTAGATTTTTACTTGTCTAAGGTCACAGCGTAAAAGAAAAGTAGAAGGTAAGTTTATTTCTACTATACATGTGCTGCTATATCGCAGGCACGCAACTACACAACAGTTTTAGGTTATAAAAGACATGTTTTGCAGCGCAGTGTCCAGCTCATCAACCGCGGTGCTACTCACACCTTTCATGAATGCAATCGCCGCAGAAGGATCCATCCACATAGCTCGCATATCCCATCTCTCCTTTGGCAGCTCCGGGTTAGGTTCCTCGATGTCCAGGAGCAAAGCCTTCACATGTGGCTGCTCGAACAGCTCTTCGCAAAGGTATCCGGGCGCTTCCCCCATTCCCAACCCACACAAACCGGCCTCCACACCCTCCATCTCCGCATCTCCGGCCTTCTGATTGGCCGCAAGCTCGCTCTCCTCCGCCACATGTTTAATCCATTGCGCCGCCCACGCATGTCCATGCTTCTTCCACTCGACGTCAGGCTGCTGTTGGACCTTGTCCCAGAACTCACTAGCAGGGAAAGGGAGCTCAGGCACCTTGTCCATCATCTGCGCAACAGCCCGACGCATGGCGACGAGCTGCCAAGAGCGCCATTGCATCACATCATGACCCCCTTCTGCCCACAGCTTCAAGAAGGCCTCCCGTTCGGTGAAAGAAGTTGATTGCGACACTGCTTCTTTCCACGCAAGAACAAAGGCGTGGATGAATTGTTGCGCTGATTCGGGGCAGTATGCACCTGGGTCTTTTGACGCGCCTACGATGACGGCGGTCAGGATATTATATCGGACGACAGCGTGGTAACGACTGAAAGAGTGCGACTTGTCGATTTGCCAGTACCATATCGCTTTGACGGCGTCGATGTCTACGCCTGGCGTCTTGATGGCTTTGAAATCGGCGGCCAGAACCGCGTTGTAGTTGGCAAGTAGACATTCCAGCTGGTACTGCTCTGGTATACTCGGGACGTAGATGGTAGGTGCCTTGGTGTAGTACTCGTGGATAGTAGGGCGACTACCTAATGCGAAGATGCGCCTGGGAACACGCGCGAGCTTGATCTTGAGGAGTCGGGTGGCCTTTTGGTGGAGTTCGAGAATTTGGTCCTTCGTAAGCGCCATAATGTACCTATCGATGCAGGTGTTGTCAGGGGGTGTTGTTAAAGGGTAGATTATCAAAATAGATTCAAGAGAGGAAGTCAAAATCTGGCGCACTGGGATAGTTGGTATTGTCGAGGTGAGCGAGAATCGCGCGCGTTTGCACTTAGGCAGCCGACTCACCCTCACTTTCGATCAAGAAATGGCGTCACCAGCGATTTTTCTTTCGCGCGAGCAGCTCGCCTTCACCTCGATTCGGTATCATAAAATCAATTTCTATCGGCCTTACCAACTCTGCTTGTTACAATCTACACACCTATCTTCCCTTCCCTTCCCCAAGATGGCGCTTACCAACCAACAACTCCTCGACCTGCACACCAAAGCCGGTCACCTCCTCAAACACAAGCTATCCAAGCTCAAGATCCCCGGCCGCGTGTTCCCCTCAGGCCGTCTCCCCACCCTCCGCGACAGCTACGAGAACCCGGAAAGTCTACATGTCCCTACCATCCCTCCAAACCTGCAGCTCGACTTCGTGTTTGCCAACTACAACGACTTCGCCGCCGCCAACTTCCTCGCGCGAAAGAACGACCAAGACATCAAAGTCTGCATGGCAACATGGCACTGGCAGATCAGCGAGACACAGTCGTTCTCAAGTTGGCACAAGGAGATTCGTTTCAACGTCCTCCTAGCCCATGTAGTCCTCAACACGCCTAATGCGCGCAAGTTTCTCGCGGAGAAACTCGTTGTATTCCTCGAACAGTTCGTCGGCGCATGGCTGGAAACGGCGATGCACATCGAGTACGATGGGAAGGAGAGACGCGACTACTGGATCGCTCGACTTTGGCGCACAAGCCAGTATGATCTGGTACATTGGGGCAAGCAGGCTAGGGGCCGAATGGGTGAGGCGGTGAAAGGGCTCGAAGAATGCGTTCCACCGCAGAAATACGCCACGGACGACTTTTGGAGCGTAGCCCGGCAGATGCCAGCGGATGAGTACCAGAAACATGGATCTGCTTGGGCTATGCAGTTCATCATCTACAAGGAGAAGAAAGAGAAGGTTGTGGCGAAAGAGCTTCAGACCGAGCACACGCAAGACCAATTCTCAAAGGGAAATTTCATGGGCTTTAGTAGTCTTTCCGTGGACGATTCGGTACCAGAGTACCTCTCGGAAGACCTGTTTAATCAGCTATTGGTGAAAGCCCTTTTAGTAGATGTGCGCAAGCTCTTGTATTAACAATACTTCTCTTTTTAAGAGAACCTAATTATATAAGTATATATAAATTTTAGAAGTTATAAGTTACTTATTATAATAAGTTATTAAGTATACTATAAGATAAAAGTAATAGTTCTAAAGTATAACTTTATATATATAGTAATATAAGTTAGAGGTAAAGTATATAAAGTACTTTAGTATTATTATTACTTATATAATATATATATATTATAGTACTTTCTTTTACTTTTATTACTTTTAGAATTTTAATCTAACTATATATTTTTATTAATATTAAATACTACTAGCTTTTATTTACTAATATAGTAAAAGTAACTTACTACTAAGTAGCTATATAAGCTAAGTATTATTAATAAATACTTATAAATATAAATATAAACTTATATACTTAATAAAGTATTAAGTTATATAAGTTCTACTTTAAGCGCCTTCTTAGTATATAATATAATATAACTTATAATAAGTATACGCTAATAGCTATATATATAAGTTTATACTAAATAAGTAAATACTTTCTTTACGCTAAAATAGCTATAGTAAATATACTACTTATTTATTTAAGTTAGCTAGGTTACTAGCTCTTTTAAGTAAAGACTACTTTTCTTACTTAAAGTAATATTAGTAGTAATATAAAATAGTAAAAGTACACTAATATACTTTTTACTTTTTATAATATATAAGTTAAGATATAAGTTAGTATTTAAGCTATCTTTTTAAATAGTAAAAATAGGTATAGAACCTTATACTAGAGTAAATAAAATATATTATAGAATATATAATTGTATAAGTAATAATAGCTGTAGGTAAGACACAAGAGGTAGATGTACGCAACATGCAGTTGCAGGTGCCTAAGAAGTTCGCCGGCTGGTTGGATCCGCAGAAGGCTATTAAGCTCATACAGGATAAGATGGAGGGCTTGGAGGACGTTACGGAGCAGATCAAGAACATGTCTTTTCTGAAGGCGTAGGCCTTGAGACTGTTGGTAGTTACCTCGGGGTCATAAGAACGGTCGAAAAGTACCCACGTAGTGTCATTTAGGCTCGCGTTACTGTATTAAACCTTGACTTTTAGAAGTGCTAGGCGCCTTGATCCGATGGTAAGATAGTGAAGCAGGAGCGATGTAGAAATATATCCCAACAGAGCCAATGAGGGAACCGCACACCACACTTTTAAGAAGGAGTACACGAGCCATGAAGCAGCAGCGCAGCAGCGCTTGCCCACGCTGTAGCTGCAATGTAGTAAATCTCGTTCCGAGTCCTGCTTCCTGTTCTTTAGCACCCACAAGAAGGGAACAGGTACGTGCACATTTCGTTTCCAAACTGTAGTTTGGCTTTAGCGTGCTAATAATAATGTATTTATGTAGCTATCAACACTAGAATCTCGCGAAAATGTTCGCCTGGCTCGACTGGAATCAAGTCGCCAACAAATTCCTCGGCGACTGCATCGCCGTCATGATTGGCCTGTTTCTGGCCTTTTTGCTGTGGCGCTTCGGCCCTGATTGGCTGTGGCTGCGTGTTCGTGCGGCGCTCGAGCGTCGCATGGTTGATGCGATGGTGAGGGAGGCGATGAGGGAGACGGAGAGGGAGATAGAGGAGATGCGGGAAGTTTTGGCGCGTCTTCACCGTGAATTGTGATTTTCTACACTTATGCATGACGCAACACACACACCAGACAATACATGATACCTGCCTGGTGGCAGAAGAAGCCTTGGCCAAAATTTGACAACTTTGAAAAATGCATGCGTACGTTCTCTTTAATCATAGAACACACGGCGCCTAGCCAGCATGTTTTCGACATCTTGCACGAAGCATGGGATGTCTGCCGAGAAAGATGCGGACTAGAATGCGAGTACAAGTTCCTCAGTAGTAGCAAGACGGTCTACTAGCCTAGAAGAAGTGGATATGATCACTTGGGACTGGTTTTGTTGCTGTACGCTAGGACGACAGAAGTTGCGCGCAACGCGCCGGTGGGGATAAGCTTCCGGTGTGGACTGCCACGTAGAAAGCAGATGGTTTGTAGTAAGTCCTTTGACTATGATCAACTTACTCCTAAGTAGCCTTCATAATACGCAGAGTATGTGCAATCAATGCCACTAAAGTTATACGCTCACCTCATGTAAGGAAAAGCCTGAACAGGTCCAGAGACTACATTGACATGACAACATCCAAAGTAGATGGCCTGAAGTCGATGTAAACCCCACGCTCGCCGCTGAGCCTTTGTCACTTCCATCAAGATCCCACGCCGTTACAGTCCCCCATCTCTTTATCCAACACCTCCAACCCCACATCCAAAGTACTAATACTCAACAACGTCGCCAACTCCAACACCTCCATAATCTCCTCTTTCGTACCCCCATAATTCAACACATTCCGCATATGCAGCTTCAACCCCGGTTTATACATATGCGTCGCCGCCGTATCAAACGCACAATATATCAGCTCCTTGACCTTGGGTTCAAGCACGCCCTTGCCCCCCTCGTTCGTCCACGGCACAGAACTAAACTCCGTATACGCGTCGAAGAAGTCGGGTGCGATGAGCAGCATCTCCTCCCATAATGCGTTCCAGTATCCGCGCTTTACCTCGAAATCTTGCTTTAGTGCGAGTTGCTGTGGACTCATGCTCGCCATGCCTTTTGGAATGGCCTCGCCGCGCTCTTCGAGGACTTCGAAGAGGATTGGGACGCCCACTGTGGAGGCGTGGATGCCGAGGGTGGATGTGAGACACAGTGTTTCGACGATTTCGGCACGGGAGGCGCCTGCGGAGAGGGCGGCGCGGGTGTAGCGGTGGATGTTGGGGACGTGGAGGTGGGTTGATGATGCGCTTACGGCGAGGGAGATTAGGGATTGGATTTTGGGTGATAGGTGGTTGCTTCGCTTTGGTATGGCTGTTAGGCGGAGGGATGCTGCGAACATCTCGGGTGAGTGCTTGAGCATCCGTGCCCAGGATTCGTCGTAGGCTGCGGAGCCGAGCTCGGTGTCGAAGCGCTCTCTTAGGCGCTGCTGGTCTGGTGTGAGAGACATTTTGTGTAATGGTAACAATGTTTCAATTCGATGTTTTGGACAGAAATGAAGACGTGAATAGCATGTGTGGAGGTTGGGTCACTGAGACCACTAAGACAATTGCTTTCAAATCATTGCGGAACATATGAGATCTCGGCATTGAGACAGAAGCGCGCGAAGTTACCAGTTGCTAGTCCCGCGGATGCAATCTGCGTGGTTTTGCCTGCCGCCCCTCAACCTGAGTAACCCCGGATGGTTGACGGTGATGGTGGTGAGCAAGCCAGCCCCACATTCCCCAATTCTGCGGTGTGGGGAAGCGCAGGGATCAGCACACCATCGGATGGCCGAACGAGAAGGATTACAGCTGTAGCGGGTAAGCTAGACTTCCCCATAGTGCGAGTTGACAATGCGGTATGTGCGAGAGGCGATCGGTATCCCGATGTACGGTTGAGAACAATTGCTAGGTGATTTCTTCAGTACTAACAACTAACCATCCACGCTTTGCTCCGCGCCGAAGAAGCGCGTCTTGTTCTTTGGATCGTTCTCCCATTCAACGTCATGTGCAAAGATGATCTCAACACCTTCTTTCTCCAGGCCTCTGATTCTGTCAATCGTCGCTTCAGCTTGCTTTCTGTCGGCATGTATGCAACAGACTTGACCATGGACGTCGTTCCACTCTCCGATCGTTTTCTCTCCGGTCAACAGTCGTCTGTCGTGACATGCATCTCCGCCCATGTAAATTTGGTGATCTGGAGATGTCCGAGCGAGAAGATTGATGTGTCCTGGTAGATGACCGGGTGCGTTGACGATGAGCAGTGAGCTGTCATTGAAAACATCCAAAGTCTGAGGGAGGTTTCCGTACGTTTGCCAGGAGCCACTAAAATTGATATCGCCCGTTCCCCTACATGAGTCGTGCTTCGTCAACACGTTTGCCCAAGGTTCCGATAGTTCAATGGTCCGCTCTTCTGGCAGAAGATCACTTTCGAAGAAAGAATGGCCACCGCGCAAAGACGACGATGTGCCATCCAGCAATGCAAGTGAACCATGGCCGACGACGAAGTTAGATGTGGGAAAGTCTCGAGGTTCGCCAATGTGATCCCAATGCACCTGCCGTAGCCACGTTACCTACCGTCCGCAAAGCAAGGTCGTGTGACTTACGTGCGAATAGATCACATAATCGATATCCTCGGGTACTAGCCCGCCTCCCGCAAGGCTCTTGGTGACGTCCGGATCGGTACTCATTGGCTGTCTCGTCTCGACATGCTTTTGTATTGGTGGCGCGTATCTCTTGATGTCTCTCCTCAGGCCCAGATCGAACACAAGCCGTGTCCGCTTCTTGGTGCTTTGGTTGTAGTGCTGTATCAGAAATGCTAACGAAGGTACGGTCCGGCGTGCATCTCGACTAACAGGGTGTACGAATTGGTACTCTGGGAGAGAAAAATGACCACACGATAACGCGTGCACAGTGACAACGGCCGCCGCTGCATGGTCGGACTGCTTTTGCGAGACAATAGCAGACATTTTTCAAGAATGATGGAGCTTTTCGTAGATGATGTCGTCTCAAGGTTGCAAGACTATGGCTGTTGAGAAGGACAGCCGCAGGTGCTCTCATGCACGAGCAGATGGAGATGGCACGTGAGATCATCGTTCAGCTTACCAAGGTACGTATGGGAGTATTAGGTGTTGGCGAAAGAGTGGGTAGGATTAGTGCGTCGTTATCCGTTGGAGAAATGTCTACCCCGCTTCACCAGCCGCGGCACGCTCACGACGCGTTCTGATGGTAGAGTGTTGACGTGTTTCTCAAAATCTCCAGGTCTCGTATACACACCAACTTCCCACTCGACGCTAACTCTCTGTCGTTCCTGAAAGTACTCTCGGCTTCAAGTCAATCCCCCACCCCTATCTGGCACACGCATTCGGCATGACGCATTCGCACGATTTTAGAAAGCTGGGCTTCATCGGCCTCGGGGCTATGGGAAAACCAATGCTTTCTCATCTTGCCAACAAATTGCCCGAGGAATCGCGCATTTGGGTTTATGACGTGGTCGAACAGATGGTAGACGATGCGTGTGCAGAGTTTCCCGGTCGAGTCTTAAAGGCAAAAAGCGCCAAAGACGTAGCGCAACAAGTCGTGAGTCCAGACACCACCGTGCGAAGATGGTAGCTAACGAGATGACAGGACACAGTTGTAAGCATGGTGCCTGAAGGTGCACATGTACGATCCGTATATCTCGATCCTCAAAACGGCGTATGCAGCACCGATATCTCGAACAAGCTGCTTATCGACTGTTCAACAATAGACACGGCAACCAGCCTCGCTGTGAAAGATCATATCGCCGCTGAGTTCCCCTCGGCGTCGTTCTATGACTCCCCGGTGAGTGGTGGCGTAGTGGGAGCCATCAAAGGCACGATCGCATTCTTTCTAGGCTGTGCAGAGTCGGACCCAAATATTGAGCGCCTCACATATCTGATGGGTTTGATGGGTGGGCAAGTGATACCTTGCGGAGGTCCATCCCTTGGACTTGCAGCGAAGCTATCGAATAACTACCTATCGGGTATCATCGCCATAGCTTGCTCTGAGGCTTTCGACATGGGAATGCGCAGCGGACTGGATCCCCGCACTCTGGCCAAAGTATACGCTGCGGGTACTGCCCAGAACACGATTTGCGACAAGTTTTGCCCTGTCCCACATGTATACCCCGAAGCCCCGTCTTCAGGAGGCTGGAAGCAGGGTTTCAAAGTGCAGCTCATGCGCAAAGACTTCGGTTTAGCCGTGGACATGGCGAAACGAGTAGGGTCGAGAAACGTGTTGGGTGACGTTGGACTACAGACATACGATGGCGCAGCCAACGATCCGCGTTGTAGGGATTTGGACTCGCGGGTGGTATATCGCTACCTCGGTGGCCAGGAAGACTGGCGATCTAAATCGAACGGCGCATGAGCACCTGGGCAGCAACGTGGGCCTGTGACACCCCATCGTTATCTGACCCGATGTCGCTGAACCTCAATTAGATGTGTGTAACTAGTCGCATTAGCGTTATGTTGAAGTTGGAGAAGATTGGGGATGTTTGGGGTAATGCCGAGGGCGGGCTATCTAGGAATGAAGCTACCATCGCGGGGCAAGCATGCCAATCTTGTCAGTTCGTCACAGTACTGGTACTACGAAACGCACGGTAGATAGACTATCACCTTCCTCACCCTAATAATTCGACTTGATTCAGACAGCCTCTTTCACGTCAAAGCCGCAATAGCTACCATCGCACCTCGAAGCAACCGACCGCCAGCATGTCGACCGATCCGAAGCTCGACGAGCTACACAAGCAGCTCTTCGATGAAGGGCTGAAGATGAGACGGAGTGTGGTGGGAGATGAATACGTCAATCGCGCCCTGGAAAATGGGTCCACTGAGTTCTCACGAGCCGGACAAGAGCTCGTCACCGAGATGTGCTGGGGATACGCTTGGACACGTCCAGGTCTCGACAAGAAGCAGAGAAGTCTGATCAACATCGGCATGCTCATGGCACTCAATCGCGCTCCCGAGCTTGCTGTGCATGTGCGTGGGGCAAGGAATAATGGTCTTTCCGAGCTTGAGATCCGTGAAGCCATTATTCACGCCACAACATACTGCGGTGTGCCGGCTGGGGTCGACGCGATGAAGACAGCTGAGAAGGTCCTGGATGACATGGCAGAGAAAGGCGAGATGCCGCGAGAACTGGGCGAAAGGAGCAAGAAGGCGTGAAGGCTGTTGGCTTGTGACAGTGGATAGAAGACGCGTCGCGTCGCGTTGGACTGTGGCTGGGGCAAGTGGCACCCGGGATCATCCGGCCCGGGCAGGGACGAGTTGTTCGACAGTGATCGTAGCAATACCACCATTCTCCATACCTTGCTTCTGCGCGGAAGTGTCAAAACAACATCTTACGCCTCATGCATTCTATCAATATGCGTGCATCCTGGACTGTGGGTACATGTCACATGTGTGATTGGTGGCTTTCCCACCTCTTCCCAGCACCCCGCATGTGAACGGTCGCGTCCCCGCGCTTCATTCCTTTCCCCACAATCTCACGACCCGACTTCGTGAAACACGACTTGCAGTCTCCAAACTTCGTCTAAGTGCTCAGGCTGCTCCAAAACTCGGCTATCGCCTGCTAAGCCGGTCGCAATTGGGCCCTGTGTGAGCGAAAGCGTCGCGATTGGTTTGATGGAAGCCGGTACCAGTGAAGAGCAGGTCCCGCAAGCTCAACCGGGGAAGAAGGAAAAGCGATTCCAATGTCCACACTGCCAACGGGCCTTTGCTAGGCTGGAGCATCTCCAGCGTCATGAGCGCATTCGTAAGTCGTGCGACTCGCGTCGTAAGCCAATTCTAATATGCGTCAAGATAGCGGTGTGAAGCCCTTCAGCTGCGCAGCATGCAACTATTCATTCACGCGCAGGTATGATACGTCCAGCGTCGTTTACGGCAGCAGCTAAAAGCTCGATTCAAGTGACCTGCTCGTTCGCCATGAGCGACTCACTCATCGCAAAGAGCAGAGTACACAGCCAAATCACCAGCATACTCCCGCTGGAGATACATATGGCTCGGTCGAGACTCGGCCGCACAAGCGCATGCGATCAAGTTTCGATGCTGGGCGTCCAGTGCCCGAAATACCCAGTATGATGTCCTCGCCTGCTGTTTTGGACATGCAATCGTCGCTACAACAACCCACAATGTCACACGCCTCCATGACCTTCGGGCATAACAGCCCCTACTCTTTGACAGCCTTGTCCATGGCTGCGGAGTATCAAGCTCTTCAAGGTAATATGGCAAACAGCTCCGCTCATGATGCGATGCCAACCCCAATGCCTTCGCATGCTGGCACGATAGCCGCGAGTGTTGAAGGCCCACACTCAACCATGCTCACGGAGCCGTCTGCTCATAGCTATGAGTCGACCTTTGGAGAGTCACTGGACAGTCTCACTTCATTCCTTGACAGTGAACCACTAAACTCGTACCACTTTGCGTCCCTAATCAACACCGAACAGCCCATGCCGTTCTTCTCTCCAGACTCATTTGGCTACGGTCAACAAATGGTGACCGAGCCAGAGGGAACAACAGCACCTACACATGGGTGGAGACCAACACAATTAGACGAGCCGCCGTCGCTTTCACGCTTCGGCTCTCGTTTTCCTTCCTTGCAGCCAGACGATCAATCCGCTCGGAAACGATCGTTTGCAGATATCTCACACGAGGATCGGCAGGAGATTCTCGAGATGCTCCAACCCTTCTCCATGGTCATACCCAGCGACTTCGTTCTACCAACTCGATTAGCACTGTGCAGATATATTGCTGCGTACATCAACGGATTTCACGAGCACATGCCGTTCCTTCACATACCCACGATGTCCGTGGAGACATGTTCGATAGAGCTGCTCTTAGCATTGGCGGCTATCGGTGCGCAATACACTTTCGAGGGCGAAAAGGGTGTCGAGCTGTTCAACGTAAGCAAAGCAATTGCGACGCACCGTATCAGGAAACGGGACACGCGCCTGGTGCAGCTCCAGCATCATTCTGAGTCGGATCAATCGTCGCCCCACAATCATCCGAGCGGCCCTCGTAGCCCTCAACGTAAGGGTTCCGTCTCGGGACCGCTGGGCCTACCTTCCCAGGCTGATGTTCCCGTACTTGGCGAAGATCTCATGCAGACCGCTCAGGCACTACTCTTGCTCATGGCACTGTGTACTTGGGCCAAACACAAAGAGATCCTCAGAGAGGCGTTAGCAATCCAAAGCATCTTAGCTACCCTCATTCGGGATGACGGACTCGAGACCGAACCTCTCCATGAGACCATCTCATGGTCGGACTGGATTCGGCGCGAAACGATCAAAAGGACCAAGTTCATCGTCTATGGCTTCTCCAACCTCCATTGCATTGTCTACAACATTCCTCCGTTCATGCTAACGAGCGAGGTCAAGTTGCCCTTGCCATGCAGTGCCGCAGAATTCAAGGCACCTACGGAGGCTTTATGGAGGGAAGCGAGGAAGAAAAGTGCGCCTGAAGTCCTGTTCCAGGATGCATTGAAACGTCTATTTACAAAGCAAGGCCGCGACGTTACCGAGGTCAATTCGTCGTCTGGAAACTACGCGTTGATACACGCCCTGATACAGCATGTTTTCTTCCTCAGACAAGTGGCACGATGTCGTTTTGAAGGACCCGGTGATCTGAGCGCAGAAGACGTCGCGTCGCTCGAGAACGCTCTGCGAAACTGGCAGACCGGATGGCGCCAAAATCCCGAATCATCACTCGACCCGATGTCGCAAAACGGTCCTGTCGCTTTCAACTCGACTGCGTTACTTCGATTGGCATACATACGACTATACGTAGATACCGCAGGTCGAGCTTTAGAGACGCGCGACCCTGTGCTGATTGCCAATGCCTTCCGCGCCGGACCTACAATCAGACGCTCGCCAAAGATTACAAGAGCTGTGCTTCACTCGGCTCACGCCCTCTCTATACCCATTAAGATCGGCTATCGTCTCGTGGCAAAGACACAATCGTTCATCTGGAGCATTCAACACTCCCTGTGCACGCTTGAGTGCGCCTACCTCATGAGCAAGTGGCTCGAAGCACTGTCGGTACCAGAAGCAGACCCACCCGTCACAGAAGACGAGCACAGAATCATCGCGATTGTGAAAAGCATGTTGGATGAGACCGAGTTTGCCGTACCCGCCGACATTACGCCCGACTCGCCCAATTTTACACGACATCTCAGCGCGGGGGTGCTCAGGGTCTGGGCGATGATCTTCAAAGGATCTCAAACTTGGGCTATCGTGGATGTTATCGGGAGCTCTCTCAATCTGTATGCGGATATGCTGGAGTCTGGATGAGTGGATTTATGAAGATGGTTCGTTTTCTTCGAGATCACGCAACGACTTCTGTGGACTTCAGCCGAGACATTCGGCTTGCCCGATGCAAACCAGGGTTGAGCATCGAATGAAGTCGAGCCTCGCATCAACAACCCTAATTGGGTAATAACCCAGCTGCATGGTCTGCGCGGAGAATGTGACATTAGACGATCGAAGCATATAAGAGAGTGTCCCTCCCGAGCAGCGCCCACTGATGGCTAATGGGCTCCCAACATGAGATGACAGTCGAGCGATGCGGCCGCCGTTCAAAACCCGCTTTGATTTCCAGGAATACTCCTTGGACACGTCACAAACCAGCGAGATTCACTCCGATACAATTACGCCGATACTCTAGCGTTCCGTGCGGTTATGGGATGTGCTCGCCCAAAACTCCAATAGCCTCCACCCGTGCAGTCGATAGAAAAGAGACTTATCGAATCAAGAATTGTCAAGCGGCAAGCTGAATCGCAGCTAACTCGCGAGAAGCGGCGTGGAGGAAACGACGACGGCCGCATGGGCTTGAAAGAGTGGTGAAAGAGGTCGGGAGTGCAACTATCAAAAGCAAGAAATAAGACAGAAAACGGGACGTGATGGAAACAACGAAGCTTGATCTATCCTGAAGCACCATGGGCGTGTTAGGAGTTCAAGGTATTACCAAGCAGAAGCAGGAATAGAACTTCGAGTCTGTTCACCGGAAGCACGGGGGTCCATCAGCCCACTGTCATGAATGCACATCGAGGAAGCCTACTTTCGGGAACTGCACTGCCACTTCCGCAATGGAGCTTGTGGTGCGAAGCAAGACGTGGAGTTGACGAGGCGCCCGACAACTTTCGGAGAGGTTGTCGCTGCAATCTAGTCCACACGTCCGTTTGAGGTGTGTGTTGCGTAGGATACAGTCACACGTCAGTGTCACTGTCAGCAAAAACCCCAGCGAGTTCGATATGGATGCGTTTCAGGTGTTTCCGGACATTACACACGCTTTGGTGGTGTCGAGATAGCTGCCCAACCACCAATCGACATGCAGGCGTCACCTGAAGGCTTTACAACGGTAGCTTGGCGGTAAGATAGAGGCGCCTATCTTCGAGCAACGTATTCACGCGAGATAGCATTTGTCGATGAGACATAATCATGGTTCGTCGTGCTTGGCCAAGGGCAGAGCTGTAGCTTAAAAGCCCATCGACGAATTTAGACGGTGCTGACGAGAAAAAGCCGTGTGCTCTCCTATAGGTCTGTCACTGGCACAGAGTTCTTCAATCTATCGGCGAGTTAACAGCTTTCGCATACCCTACCTCAAACAGCGTGGGTGCTCAATCCAACTGCATGCCGCGCCGTCATTCGCGAGAGCAGTTAATTACCGTGCTGCCGGGCGTAATGTGCAAGGTTCAGTCCAACTGCATATCGGTTAAGACAGTGGCGCATCGGCACGGGGTCAAGCCCTATCCTCGGGTTGGAGTTGCAACCCATGCGCACGTTCGGTATGTCTGACATAAGCAGCATCTGTACATGCAGTGGAAATGGGCATGATGTGAGGCGGCATGTATGGATGAATATTGTTGTCCAGCAGTAGATGTCTCCTCGTGGTGAGGTAACAATATCCCGGGTCTGTGTTGATCACGACGCGTCGTCGTGGTGTAATGTACCAAGTCGCATTTTCGGTACAAGCAATTCGATGATCGTAAACACAGCGGCTAATTGTATTTGCATCTACTCAAGTCGCTCTACCGGTATGTTGGATTCTTGCGTGATTTTGGTCATGTTGTTGACCACTACGAATTGAACGAGAGTTAGTACAAGGCCTGCATGCGTACTATACGTGCTACTTGCGGTCATCAACGTCGACTGTCTGCCGATTGCTTCCGTTTGGAGCACCCGAGGTTGAAGCGTCCGTCTTCCGTGGGTTGGTGTCGATTTGAATAGTGACCTAGCAATGTCCATTAGCATTAGCAGGCAAAGCGGCACACACTCAGGAAATGTAATGCTTAAGTTGTACCTCGCCATCTAGGCAGGTATAGTCCAAACCTACCGGCCCATCGTTGACCAGAGCAACATCCATCATAGCAGCAAAAAGTCCGTCTTTGACCTTGTCGGACTCATAGAGGGATCCGACCTTCTTGAAGAAGGCGTGGTATAGTGTCTTGGCTTGGTCGCCGTTTGCGGATTGGTGGAAATCCGGCTTGTTTCCCTTCTTCATAGAGGCCAGTAGCGTGAATTGGGAGACTGTCGACAATTAACACACCGATTCCGCAGCAAAAGCACTGTTATAGAGTTTCACACATACCACACAAAACCTCGCCATGGATATCGGTCACGTTGCATTTCCACTTGACATGTCAGTCTCAGCCGAGAGAAAAAGCATCGGCTTCATACGCGGCCCGGCGGGTTCTTGGAATCGTCGTCCCAGAGCTTGGCCTTGAGTATCTTGCTGGCCATGGCCTCAACATCCTTCTCCGTGTCGTCTTTGGAGACGGCCGCAAGGACCAGCAAGCCCTTGCCAATCGAGGAGATCAACTGGCCATCGACCGTGACTGATGCCGACTTGACCCTCTGCAGCACCGCTAGACACGCTTAGTATAGTCGTGGTTACGTGTGCATGGAGGCGGGGTCCGTACTCCTCATGATGGCGGGGTAGCAGCAGTACCTAGATAGTGAGAGAGATTGCGATAGCCTCACGGTGATGTGTGCAGCAGCGCAACGACGTCACGCATGGGAATTGCGACATGCGACAAGTATGAGACGGGGCTGGAAGAGGGTGGAACGCGTAGATGAAACCAGACGCGTGGGGCCAATCGTGGTGGCTAGTGGCCGCACTCTTGGCGAGGACGCTAGGCCAGCCCTGTGGCATCGCGTTACCTATGCGATACGTCCGCCTCCGCATTCAGCCCACGACAAACATCCACGCCATTCTTCGTCGACCGCCCTCACTCGCGCGATTCGACTGTCCCACGGCCGCTGCCACCCCCGGCGCCGCAATCATTGCCGTAACCACCGCGAAAGTCCTCACGACGAGGCTCGACCCTCGCCATGGCCGCCCGCAAGCTCCAGCAGGAGATCGACAAATGCTTCAAGAAAGTCGCCGAAGGCGTCGCGACGTTCGAGAACATATATGAGAAGATCATGCAGACGGGCAACCCCTCGCAGAAGGAGAAGCTCGAGGACCAGCTGAAGAAGGAGATCAAGAAGCTGCAGCGCTCGCGGGACCAGATCAAGACGTGGGCCGCCATGTCCGAGATCAAGGACAAGAAGCCGTTGCTCGACCACCGGAAGCTCATCGAGACAGTAGGCTGACCGCCGCCTCCCGGCATGATGGGACGCTGACATGTGACAGCAAATGGAGCGCTTCAAGGCCGTCGAAAAGGAGATGAAGACGAAGGCATACTCCAAGGAAGGCCTGCAATTAGCGTCCAAAATCGACCCCAAGGACAAGGAGAAGATGGAAATGGTCGAGTTCCTGCAGCAGATGAACGAGGAGCTGGAGCGCCAAATAGAAACCATCGAGACCGAGATCGAGACATTACATGCCAACGTCAAGAAGACGAAGAAGGGCGACAATTCCAAGGCAGAGCGCGTGGCAGAGCTGGAAGAGTCGGTCGAGCGGAATAAATGGCATCAGGGCAAGCTGGACCTGCTGCATCGAGCGCTGGAGAATGGCAATGTCGAGACAGAACAGGTCAAGGAGATTGAGGACAGCATCAAGTACTACGTCGAGAGCAATCAGGACCCCGAGTTCATGGACGACGACACAATATACGACGACTTCAACCTGCAAGAGGAGGAGGCCATCTTTGGCCTGGGCGAGAACCTGGACCATGTGTCTTCACACGAGTCGCAGTCGATAGCAGACGACACACCCGAGTCAGACGTGCGACCGCCAGCACCCAAGCCGAAAGCGACAGAGGCAGTACAACAACAGGCACGACGGCCCTCGACACAGATGAAGTCGCCATTACCAGCACTAGCAACATTGCACACGCCGTTACCTGGCGTCTCAAATACCACGGCCAACGCGATGAAGCCCGCGCCGATACCGACAAGGACGCCGGGCGAGCCCTTGAAGTACGCCTCGGCCGCCGCTGCTGCAGCCGCGAGCGATAAGAATGGAGTGGGCATTGCTCCTCTGCCACCACCACCGGGAGGGGCCGCAGCACAGTCAGGCCTTGTTCCTGGCGGCGCACGGGCAAGCGCAGCAAACTCCCCGGCAATAACACATTCCCAACTGGCCTCGCGCGCGCAGCCAGCCGAATCCGCACAAGCATCGCCAGCTCCCGCGGCAAGTATACCCGTGACGCCTGCTGCGGAGAAGGAGACCCTTTCGCGCGCCGTTTCGTCGGAAGACGCGTCGAAGTCCAGCAGAAGGACACCAGCTCCCGAGCCTGTAGAGGAGGAGGAGTCATCGGCTGCCACCCCGCCGCTAACGAACGGAGATTCGCATGCAGAAGAGGAGGAAGAGGAATCAGTCTATCATCTGCCGTCGAGCTTACAGGACCTCCTGGACACATTTGAGGCGACCAAGAACGACATATCCGCCTCTGCCTCGAAACCTCCGAATGAGCACATGCTAGCAGCATCCATGGCCACCGCGCCGGACTCTGCGGATACTGAGGCGCCGCGCCACTACCGACCCCAGAATCCCTATCCGTTTACGCCCGCGCACTACCCGCAAGAGCCGTTACCCATCTTCGATGATCCTCGCTTGTACTCCCGCATCGAGACCGACGCTCTCTTCTACGCCTTCTACTACCGCCAAGGCACGTACCAGCAATACCTGGCTGCGAAGGCACTCAAGTCGCAGAGCTGGAGATTTCACAAGCAATATCAAACATGGTTCCAACGCCACGAAGAACCAAAAGCAATCACTGAAGACTACGAGCAGGGGACGTACCGCTTCTTTGACTATGAGAGCACATGGTAAGCACCTAATCCTGTCCACCAGCCTTACGCGGGGCTGCCGTATTACAAACTCGCGCCACGCCGTGCTATTTCTGCACGTCATACAGTGCTAACCTTATTGCAGGATGAACCGTAGGAAAGCTGACTTCCGATTTGCCTACAAGTTCTTGGAAGATGAGCTATGAGCAGTCGGCTGCTTTCTTCTTACCGACCCGCATGCTCGGCTTGGGGTAATTGAGTTCTGTATTAAGATTAAGTATTAGGTAGTCCTGGAATGGGTCCCGTCGAGGGCAAACAACTTTTGCTCTTCGGATCTTGAATTGCTTCCATCAGGGTATCTTCGGTGCGTATTAATGTCCGCCCGCAGGCACCCGACCGACCACGCGAGGTGTAAGTCACGGTGAGACAATTATGCATGGATCAAATAGCACTTATTGAGGCTCACCTGCCAAGTGCAGGCCCTCCGCCCGCGACAATTTGGCCGTCCAAGGATGTTGTAGCGGTCTGAGCGCCGGGCGTAATCTGACATGATGTGGCTAACGGCTGCGGAATGTGCTCAATTGGTCCAGACGACGTTACACTGGGTTCCGCCCCCAATCGGTGGAGCCTACAGGGCTGCAGGAGGAGGCTGGTCGCATGTCACTGGCCGCCTAAGCGAAGAATCCTTCCGCGACGTTCAAGCTTCAGTTACGCCCCGTTACGCCCGGCAGCACTAACTCGTGCATGACTTTGAGTTGAGCGGTTACTGCATCAATCATTTTACGGCATTCGTGCGCCGGTCCAAGTCCATCGGGTTGCGGGTTAATTGACCCACTTACAGCAGCAGCAGAGACAGACGAAGACAGGACGCGAGATGGGCGTTTGATGACGGCTAACCTACTTGGAGACGGGCGGTCAAGCAATGTTTGATCTCAATGCGTTTCGAAGGCATGTTGTCATCACAAGTGCTCTGATAATTTCAAGCGATGAAGTGGTCGGGCGCGTTACCGAGAGCCAGCTGGAAGAGCCTGGAGCATCGCGAAACGACCATGTCAAACATGATAGACCTCAGGCCGATCGCTAGGCTCCAGGCCACGTTCTGCAGCGTAGCAGGGGTTCGTTCCTACACCGCGGAACGAAAGTACGCGAACAAGAGCCACGCATGCACATCCAGTCACACGGGGCCCATCGACCTACCCGCATGTGTGTTAATCGGTGAACCATGCCTATCATATATCCCGGTACACCAAGATCAGAACACCAACGTGTACGCATTGGACTATTCTAGCTATTTGCCTTGCCAAGCCATGACAACGACAAATGAAAGAGATGGTACAGTTCAATTAAAGTTGGATCGGGGCCTAGGGGTACTCGCCCTGCATCGCCATAAGACGACACAGATCTACCAGTGTCCTCGTTGTGCTTCCTACCTCTACACCTAGACCACTATTTCACCGCCTCAATTCTCCCACAGCATACGACAACATTAGGCCTTTTGATTCACCCGCGCCGCGACCAGACCCTACAATACCATTTTCCGGTGACAACTAGTGTCCGTGCCGTCGTCAGCCCTATACCGATTAGTTGTGTGGGGTACCACCAAGCTGGTACTGGCTTCGCCTCGCCATCCTACGCATCCACCTCAGCAATCTTGGACTTCTATATTCACACATTTGGCCTCTGGCGTAGCGGTCCTTGTACAAGGAGATCGCAACGCTTACCAAAGACGCGATCTTCAAGCCCTGTCGAGCGAATCCACAACCTGATCCGACTTCTCGCCTTACGACACTTCTAACTTTGTTTCGTCATCGCCATGTTGGCACACTACGGCCCTCAGGGAGATGGCTTTGGGCGCCCGGACGGTTCATTCCCTCCGAAATACCTGTGAGTCGATGCGGTTCTTGAGGGTCTATAGCATAAGCTCTGGGGTGGCAGTGAAAGGTCTTTGCCGATATGAGGGAACGAGTTATCATGCTCGCTTCATATAAGACTCGAAAGCATTCCAGGATAGCAAAAGCAACAGCATCATCAACGACAACTTCTAACACCGGTTTCATAGATCTCTCGAGCAAGTTCAACTGCGTCCTCGAAGACATACTTCCGTCTCTAGCACAAGAAAGGCATCCAGACCAAACAAGCTACGCATAATCACTTCGCCCGTGGCGCCCGTCTATCGCCCTTCAAGCACTACGAGCCGTACGAAGAAGACGAAGACGATACGCCCGAAGCAGGAACAGCCGCCTTCGCCCGCCATGTCCGGATACAGCGTAAGTCACATTCAATCTGTTGATCGTCACTTGCTTTGACTAATAACACCAGTATTCCTCTTCTGACCAAGGGAACTACAACTATCAAACGTCTTACCCAGCTTCATCAGTACCTCAATACACACAATCCCAGATCAACACATACTACGCACAGTATCAATGTTACCCACCTCAACCGTACCA